AATGAACTCCGTTTGAAAAGCGTTGTAATTTTCTTATCAGTAAGACGTAGCATGGGAGTTTATCCACGAAACAAACTTAGCGTCAAAACTGGAATTTTCAAGCTATCGATCGACTTCGAAAATATGAACAAAATAAGAGAAAATATTTGATAACTGCTGAGATATACTAATTTTCGCGAGGATGTAGTTTTCTTCTTGAAAATGCAGGGTTTTAGAAAGCATTGGCGTTGATTTTACTAAAAAACTCATAAGGATTTTTTCCGCACTGATTGTCTATAATTTATCAAAACAGTGTTCCTTTGAGCGAAGACGTAATCGAGTGGATGTGATGCTCGTCGCAGCGCGCAAAGAGCGAGGCTCCACACCCCTGCTCTCTCGGGCAGTCAATAAGAACGATCTATGGAACGCTACAGCCAGGCTATCCTCAAGATTGCGAGGAGACTCGCTCAATCAGTATTCTATGGCGTTCAAGGTAAAATATGGGTTGCAAACATGCACTTTTCTAAGATAACAGTGGTAATGATGATAGTGAGAGTGGTGATAGTGATAATGATAGTGATAGTGATGATAGTGTAAGTGATGATAATGATAATGATACATTGATAATAATGGTGATAATGATGCAGTGATAATGATAGTGATAGTGACAATGATAGTGGTAGTGATAATGGTAGTATTAGTGATAGTGATGGCGATAGTGACAATGATAGCGATAGTGATAGTGGTAGTAGTGGTGATGGTGATGATAATAGCGATAGCTGTAGTAATAGTGATAGTGACAGTGGTAGTTAAAGTGATGGTGATAGTGATAGTGATAGCGACCGCTTCCTAGTATCTGGTTGGCCATACCCAGAGCGTACTCTCCTCTGCCTTCATTGCGACTCTCAGTTTTCCCACGGTCTCAATTACCTACCGAGACGGCGGCGTGGAATGAAGGCTCTTGGTGGAAGAGAGCGCAGGCACAACAACATTTACGCGCAGAGATGCATATGCCCCGATTAGCGAGTGCTGCTGACGCGACGGCGCAACGCCCCCTGCTTGTCAATGGAGGGCGTCAGACTGTTAACGAATGGGGTTATGATGTTTTGTCTCATCTTCCATATTTGTCGGACCTCGCTTCCACTGACTACCACTTCTTCAAGCATTTCGATAACATTTCGCAGGGAAAACACCACTGCAGTCAACAAGATACAAAAAAACAATGGTTCCTATTTTGATTAATAAAGATGTTTTTAAGTCTGGTTATCATGATTTAATATGCACGGTCTAAAGCCTCCATTACTCTCGTATCAATTTAATATACTGAAACCAGTACAGATTAGAAGTCTGACTTGAAATACAGGTTGATCTGAAATAAGTGTGACAGATATTCTTAATTTCGATTATGTAGACAAATATATTGAATGATACGATCTCCAATACATCTATAGCATAGTTCATGATATTTAAGTGACATACTTCAAAGCATTGTACGATCGATAGCGCAAGACGGACGGCTATGATAATGACGAGATAAACGCTGTTCTATTGAGCAATGTTCTGCCGACACTTTATGTGGCTGTAGATTCCTTCCAGCGGTGCTCATCAAAGTTTACTTTCCTTCATAAATTGCGTTTCTTTTGAAAAAGTTAAGGACACTTATACAGTCGTAATAGAGTGAGACTTAATATGACCAAGTAAAAAGCAAGAGAAATTTCCGCCCTTTCTGATTAGAAGGAAGCAAATGGAAAACCGGTCTTACTCGTTGAAGAGAAACTTTTCATAGGGGTGTTATTGACTAGTGGATAGCTCAGACCTGTGGCTACGCGCCATTTGGCCATTTTTCAAAGCCTTCCCATAACGCTGCAGTATTGAGATCAAAATTATGTTTTACAATCGCCTTTGGCCTTCATTTTCATCGCACGTATTATTCGCTGGAAACTGAAGAGCATATCAGTGTGTAGAGAAATTTTCATAGTGTCTTAGTCAGTCGTTTTATCTCGGGTTTTTCACATCAGAAGAAAAAATCCCAATCGAATAACAATATGTCGATCGTCTCGCCTTGTCCCACCATCTGTCACGCCCCTGTCACGCTCCTGCCACGCTCCCTCTCTGTGGGGCCGTCGCCTTATCGAATAGCTAGTAAACAACCTGCGGAAGATGTAAAACTCAATCTAACTTTCACTGCTAAGCCGTATTTGCAGAAAGTAAGCATATTGCTAGAGTCAGAAGATATTACGCTAATAGATGATTAGTAATAGTCTATAGAAAGAGCTCTGTCTTGCGAAGTTTGAAGCGCAAATCGGAAGACCGAGAGAGATTAAAAGAGAGACCCAACATTCCTATGAAGAATTTCTGTCCAGCGGATGAGATCAGTTTTTCATTTGTTCCCTCATGATCAGAAAGAACCGAAATTTTTTTTACATATAATCAAAAAATTCAAACATAGATTTTGGTCTGATGTAACAATGCGTAATAGGTTGAGGAGAAAGTTCCCGGAATTTGCCCATAATTTTAACATGTTCGCATGTTTTATATGCGATTTTCACATGGTTTGAAAGCTCGTTTTTTTGCGCATCGATTGATATATAACTCATCCATACTGCCGCAAGATGGAACTGAACCGCGAACAGAAACGACTGTTGATGCTTCACGAGTACAAAGTGGGCACAAATACCGCTGACACTGATCGTCGAATCAATGAGGCATGGGGCGAAGGAACTGTTGGAAAGACAGCTGTCTACGATCACTTTAAGGAGTTCAAGGCAGAAAATGAGGGTCTGTCTGACAAGCCACGATCAGGACGTCCACGAGAAGTCGACCACTAGGCAGTTCTTGACCGAATCGAAGAGTGCCCATTGCTGAGTTCACGAATGTTGGGAGATGAGTTTGATTGTGATCAGAAGACAATTTTGACGATTCTCCACGGAGCAGGACTTCGATTGCTGAAATTAAAATGGGTCCACATGATTTGACTATGGACCAGCAAACGACCCGACTTGAGATCTGTCTTGAACTGTCTGAGCGCTACCGTCGAGGCAACTTGGATCTGCAGCACATTGTGACATGCGACGAGAAATGGGTGTCATTCGAGAATCCGCATCGACACAACGAATGACGTGTGCCTGGTCAAACACCATCTTCCACTCCAGTCTTTTGTTCGAACTTAATTGATGCATATATAAAGTTTTTATAAGCAAATTCTGGAAACTTTCTCCTCAACTTATTACTTTGAGTGGGGTTAAAGTGTCCAGAATTCAGTAAAACCATCAAGATACATTTGTTTTGAGCAAAATTTTGAATGATCGGTTTAATGAATTTGAAAACGGAAGAATAGAGGAGGGTTTATTCCATTCCAAAATTTACAAAGAAGGAGATGTGTGATAACTTGAACGATCGGCTTAATGAATTTGTTGTGTTGTGTTGTGACATTAGATGAAACTAATGAATGGATAAATGAAACTGTTGTGGACAGCCGCAGACGTGTAACATTATAGTGACGCTCAGATGCGCTCAAACTTTGAATTGAGTTTGTTGATTTTATTGCAAAAAAGTACCACTACCACAGCGCTGCTCTCTACGTAAAGTCGAAGTAGAGTGTAATAGAGCAGTGCATGTAGATTGGTTAACAAAATCCTGCATAAAGAAATGATAACTCGCAGGATCCACCTTTGTTTAACCTCGGCAATGACCCAAAAAAAAATAGTTCTCTTACAAAATGGACGCGAGATTGTTAACAGAGTGTTCATTCAGTACCAATAAACAGTGCAAAACACAGATGTAATGGATAACATTACTCTTTTTCTGACCGTCTTCAGAGCCTGAAAAGGTTTAGTTGCTATGCAGTCTACTCAGTCAAACACTTTCATGACCAAAGCAGATCGAACTTGATACATAAACATTCACTTTCATAGTGAACAACTTGCTATATATATATATATATATAACATAAATCGTTTTGTGAGCAACTTGCTATATATATATATATATATATATATATATATATATATATCGTTTTGCAAACGTAGTTCAGTTTTTCTACTTCACAGCGAATCGTTCTGTATTATATTGCAAGATTTTAATCCTGAGATAAACTTTAATACTAGAAGAATCAGATTATTACTGGAAAGGCTTCTATGTACGTATTTTTTTTTGGAATAACACCAAATTGTGCTGAGAATCGTTACTTTTCAGTACAGTACCCGTCGCATGCAATTGCACCATGGAATGCGTTAGTGAATCCTTGGTTTCTTCCAAAAGGAGCTATATTAATGGATAAGTGGTAGTCATGCTATAGCTATAAAATGAATGTTAGTAACACGGTTGAGGTCCTCAAAGGAGCATGTTCTGCTTGTGCTACAAGCCATAAAAAATAACTTGAACTTTTAAGAGGAATTTTGGCACTAGTCCTTTTGACGAACATCGTTGAGAGGCAGGCGGCATCGCGCCGTCACTTGCGCGACAGTCGCAGGAGGCGGCATCTGTATGTCTGTGCACGCATGTCCGGCCGTTCGCACCTGCTTTTCCGCAATTCGGTATTGAGACGTTCTCAAGCTATTGAATGATTACTAATAGTCTATCGGAAAAGCTCTGTTTGGTAAAATGACAAGGAAGAACTACAACGGTAGCGACGAAGTTTACCCAAAATCCGAGATGCGCCACAACTCATGCTCCAATACTTTAAAAGGTTTGATCGGGTATGCTATTTCGCTTCACGAACCCAGTTGAGCTGATAACCATTGTGATAACGAATATTCGAAATTTCTAGTACTTTCATTTTTCGCAGTGACATGACTATTCATATAATCCTAAGTGAATTGAGTCGTGAGCAAAAACACAGCCTCAGACAGGAATCGAACCCAAATTTCATTCTATCTGATAACGAGTGCTCTACCACTACACCGCCGAGGCACATTTGCGCCCATCACTCATTCTTCAACATGGGTTGAGTTAAAGTTTGATAGATGATAGCTAACACAGACATGTTGAAGAATGAGCGGGTGGCGCGGTGACGCAAATGTGCCTCGGTGGTGTAGTGGCAGAGCACGTGTTCCCGGATAGGATGAAACACGGGTTTGACTCCCTACTGAGGCCATGTTTTTGTTCACCACTCCATTCTTCTAGGAATATATGAGTAATCATAACACTGCGGAAAATGCAGTGAAATAGTAGAATTTTCGAACATATATTAGACACATATTGATTCGTTTTCACAGTTTTTTCACTATGCGGTTCCCAGAACTTTTAGCATTCAGTTCGTTGCATTATCTTTCTCTTGAAAGCCGTAGAATACTGATTAGGCGAGTCTATTTGCAATCTTGAGGATAGCCTGGCTGTACCGTTCCATATTGCGTCATATTGACAGCGCGAGAAAGGTGGCATGCGGAGCGCCGTTCCACGCACGCTGCGACGAGCATCGCAACCACTCGGTTACTGCGTCGCTCAAAGGAACAATGTTCTTGATAAATTAGGACAACCACTGCGGAAATATTTTTATGAATAATTTTAGCAAAATCAACGTCAATGCTTCCTAAAACGTTGTATTTTCGAGAAAAAAGCTACATCCTTGCGAATATTAGTATATTTTCAGCAGTTATCCAATATTTTCTCTTATTTAGTTGATTTTTCAAAGACGATCGATAGTTGAAAATTTCCGATTTTAACGTAAAGTTTATTTCGTGGAAAAACTCCCATGCTACGTCTTACTGGTAAGGAAATTATAACGCTTTTCAATAGGAGTTCATTTTTTCAACTTCAAAGCTGATTTTATGGTACTATATAAAGAGATTTTGATTCCTAGAAAACTTTATTGCCGAAAAAGGCAGATTTATTGAAAAACTTTTATGGACGCATTTTGAATTAGAATAACGCTTAGCTGTCCAAAAAATCCTTGCATTTGAATATTATTTGTGTAGCTTGCAGTCACATTCTGTGAAATGTGCTCGTGAATTCTTTGTTTTTTTTCGAAAGCTTTTTCACTAAATTATCAGAAGTCAATCAGTAGCCTGAAAAAATGGAGATATAAGCCTCAAGCTTGACTTTTATGGACGACTTCTTCTATGTGTGCTATTAGAATAAATACAACATTTCGTCTTGACAGCGGTAAACCCGCCGTCATGACTTTAGACCGAATTTATTAATATTATCTACTCAAATTCTATATCTAATGGAACCTTATAGCTGAAAAAGCAGGTAGTTTATCATCAGAGAGACTTATGTAAACGTAGATTTAGTATAAAGTACTCTCATTTCTCTTAGAATTCCTTACTTTCCAATACGATTATTATACGCTTTAGAAAATGCATTCCGAAGTCCTGTGCGGCGCCTCTGCTGCTAGTACCAAGGAAGAGGTGTAAGAGATGTGGCACTGATGAGGCGTGCGAGAATGCCGAAACGTACCTATGCCACTGGTTATGCCATCTCAAACCCTACAGATTGCGAGGTATCAAAGGCAGTCGATTGGATGGTATCGTCGTATGTTTCGTAATAGCCATAATCCATAGACTAAGAATCAGTCTAAACCGCAGCATGATGTTATATTTCACTTTGTTGGTATCTGTGGCGCCGCTGCAATTAGTATTAGCCCTGAGTCGTAGGGCATGTGACACTGATGAGTGTGAGGAAAAGGACGAACGTACGCCGCTGCCACTAGCATATAGATCCTCCGAAATGCTTGGAGTATCCTGTCAGACTATATGCATTTTTAAGCGAGTTTTCGGAGATAGTCAACTGGAAAGTATCGAGAATCAATACTTCCTAATCACGACGAAATCGTGACAAATACCACGCTGTGAATATTTTTTTCCTGCCACCCTTGTATTCGAATTTTCACTAATAAAACATCGTTAGAATGCAATTAAAATAACATCGGGAAAAGATGTCATCAAAATCATGACTTCTTCACTTCCTCCATCCATATTCGTGTCGAAGCACAAACAGTAATTTCATACTTTGTACGTTCACTTACGAAGGTTCATAGGTGCCACCTGCAAACAGTTCACTTTAGCTACGTTAATGAAAAAAACGTTAGCACCCATGAAACATTGCGCTCAGCTCTCGAAAGGAACGCCATGGTTACCTACCTGTAAGGGCAGTCCTGTAGGTGCGGCCTTGAAACCGATTTGTGAGTGTCGAAAGTGTAGTAGAACAATGATAAAGCTAAGAGATAGAAATTTCTGCTTAAAATTTAGTTTGTAAAACATGTTTAACTTTAAAACTAAACAAATTACCGAGCTAGTAAAGGAATATATTTGTAGGACAAAAAGAAATTGCTAAATGCTCCGTTCTTCTAGTATTCTCAGTCCGGCACCGAGAAAAAGTCAAGCAAGAGAAACTCCTCTTGCTCACTTACATTTCGCTTGGGATGGAAAATTCTAGTGAATGGCGGTTATTTTTGTTTACGTACGATAGCTTACTTTCGCATAACCACTATTGATGCGAAAAATCGCGCATGCAGAAACTCTCCCTCAAAAGTGATAAGACGTTTAATGCGACGAGCAGTTTAGCTTAATTTTGGTGAACACCTGAGAAGTAGCTAATGAGAATTTATGAGAGTCTCACATATTTATTCAAACAACATACTATCGCATAGGATCATGCCTTAAGCTTTTTTTGAAAATTCACATAGAATAGCTAGAATAGTGCGTCGACATTGCACTCACCCATCCGCTGCTTGACACAATTCCAATGGGAAAATTTGCATGAAGAACAGGGCCCATTTGTTTAACAATAGCCCAGAACTACAGTAAAGACTAATGTTTTTGTAGAGAAATAATGCAGTTTGGTACAACGTCTGCAATCGATGGGAAAGCTCGTTTAATGGATCATGATAATTCAATAATTATTCAAGCGTCTACCTGCTTGAAGAGGCGCACTTCCATTTCGTGTCGTCTTCTTCGAACCGCATCTGTGTGGATGTCGACGGAGTTATGAAAGTTTATTCCATTAAGACATTACATCAACTTTTTCGAGCAGAAGCTGGTCTCATAAAACGACTACCTTTCAAATTATCTAACATTAGAGAAAAAAACTGCCATCTCAGGAAAAATTTTTAAAGTCCTACCTAGTACGATTTCATTACACTTCGATGTTTCCACTGGAGAAAACTTTTTTTTATGGATGTTTGACTGTCATCAACGACGATCATTCTCAGCAAGTGTTTTAATGTTTCTGACACGACCATGATAAAATTTTCTATGCTTATCCCAGCACTTCTTGCTTTCAGTTCCCTTCCTCTTAACCATAGCCCAATGTCTTTTGAATATTTCAGCTGTTACTTTGGCTGCTAGCTGAGAATTTCATATTACTTATGCACGCCGTGGCATGCTGGTCGAGACGCTTTCTCTTGCAATATTGGACCTGGCCGTGCCAAGGTATTCATTAAGGTGTTCGCTGATTGCAGGAGTTTTGGGTAGGTACTCAGGGAGTTTTTTATCATCCTGCTTTTTTGGTACATTGTAAGACTAACCATGGCCCATTCCTTCCTGTTTACAAATAGCTGGGTGTAAAATGGGGAAGAGAAATGCCAAGCCCTTGTTCTATTACTGGATTTTTTTGCACACTGTGTCACAGCACACCGGTGGCCTCTTCCATATATGTGTTTTGCCAGTGACTTTCTGTAATAGCGAGACTTTTGATTTGATTTTGTATTGGACTTTTACTGCTATACGGCATACTAACTAAATAATTTAGGTTTGGTATCGAGTAAATGTCCAGGCTCCGACGAAGACGAAGTCGCCGAAGTATTAGCTATTAAATTTCTAGAGAGGAGTATCAACCTCGTGTAAGTTTCAATTAAAGAATAGTATGGTACGCTAGTATTACTACAACGCATTGCCTGAATCACCCATCATCCTGTTGCTCGTCAAGTGACTTGAGTGAACAGACACCACTGGAACTTCAACTTTAACTTTTTCTATCGCGTGCGAGAATTGATCAGTGATTTCTTCTCGCTGCAGGAATTCGTTGTGCATCGTATCTATGTTCTGAATTTTCCCTAAAGAAAACAGATCATCGGGTCGGTGGCCCCCCTGCTGTGCGTTTATATAGCGAGCAATCCAGTCAGTAACCCCTCTCGTCCATCGGTTGTCGTAAAAACGCAATACACGTCCAGCCAATGTGATCTTCGTTAGCTTGCTACTTGAAACCGTGTCTTTGATTTTTGATCGTTGCTTGCATCACAACTCGGTTTTCTTCCTTCCTTGTTAAAATAAATGAGGTTCTCCCATCAACTTTTTGAAACCGCTTTCGATGTTTCAATGTGATCTTTCACCTCATTTACATAGGGCAGGCCTCTGTAGCATATGCTAAGATAGGCAGAATTGTATAGCCAAAAAGGTGGGCGTAGAGTCATGTTTTAACGTCTTTGTTGTCTTTATCACATCTTCAACGCTCGTGAATGCTCTTCAAGTCTTTGCTTCCTCCTCCTCAACTCTATAGCAAAGTCGCAAGCTATGAGCAACATTTGTCAACAACTGGATTCTTTATAGTTTCGAATGCACAGCAGAATCTTTGCCGACGTGGTGGTTAATCCTTCATAGAAGTCATGCGAAGACGATATGATGCTCAACAAGATGTTTTTGCAAGCAAAACTGACTGGACTATTCACTCGCCTAATTGACATAAATACATAATTCACTCGAGTCCGCTTGAGTCAATCGATCATCAGTGAACGACAGACGATATAGGTGTCATAGTCAACACGTTAGCTACTAACCTTATGCTTAACTCTCAAAGCAGATCAACGTGATGCAGTCGAGCAAAGTGACCAAGATGACGATGGCCAGAGTGATTCTGATGGTGACTAAAGCGTAAATGTGACTACTGCACGCTGCATCGGAGAACGTCCAGTTCACCGTATCGAAAATCATGAAGCAGTCGGCTAAAAGAAGGCCAAGATACAATGCAAAAAAAAAACTATATGAGAAATTGTACAGAAATTACACTGTGACTTGCTTCAAACTGCGTCACGCATATTCCATAACTCAAAAAAATCAGCTGTTATATAACGTATTTGTCATTGCAGTGAAGTTGGTTGTTGGCACTTGATTATTTTCTAATCTTTTTACCCATTCGACGTAACAATAAAATTAGTT